CAATCATGCTTACATATATAAAGCCTGCGTCTTAGGTTTACTTAACTTGTTCGATTTCTCCCAAACTCTCTAGGGTTTAGATGGGGCTATATAAACATGGAAAAGGCCCTCTATGGCTTGAAAGTTTTTTATTTGTCTTTGCACACGCGTAAGATTTTGCGCGCGCGTAAGAAGATTTTGCACGCAACACAATTACACATAATTTCAATTCTTAACGCGCAGCGCATTGTTTCGTCATTTGAAGTCTGGCAACGACTGAAAATATGGCGCCCATAGAGACCCCGCGACAGTCCGACAGATGGCTTAAAGGAAAGCCGTCGTCACATCTTGATCATTTTCGCAAAAGTGGCATTGATCCATGCCGAATCTTGGAGCCCAAAAGAAAGACATTGCAGTCACTAGAGGCTGAAAGAATTATGACCGTCTTTCGAGACATGGTTAGGAGGATGGAAATCAATACAGCTCTGCCCTATATACTAAATTCATTACCGCGATTTTCCGTTATTTTCGGCCAGGATTTGACATCGCGTTTGAGCAGTCATTTGCAGTTACAACGTGCATACGAAGAGGCGCTTGCCGAGCTGGGGAGAATTTCAAGGCAGAATGTCGAGCTTCAAACGGGTACCCAAACAAATACCCAGACAGAGGCTGGATCAAGCAATGTGAAATTTAGTAAACCCAGTATCATCATTACTTCTGTCAATGGAAATCAGTTAGGAATTGTTCTCGAGAAAGAAGTGGAATTTCTGGAAAAAAGAATTAAATGCTCATTGAGGGAAATATTCAGGTTTTTTAAAAAGAATCCGAAAGCAATTGAAATGGTCACAGGTGAGACAGGCTCAAAATAATGGGGTCAGATATTGGTGTTTTCATTAGATAAATGCTTCAGTTGTATATCAAAGCGATTACATTTTTTATTTCAGCATTCTAATCTTTCTCCTGAAATTTATTGATAAAAGAATCCTTCGAATCCTTTTCGCCTCCTTTATATGTTTTTCTCTTTCTCACTGCCTTGCGTCACTGTAGAAGTCGCGAACGTTTTATTTTTTGCATTATTTGTGATTTCCATCACACTTGCTTTCTTGTAAACAGAAAGCAAACCGGTCCGTAACCGAGAGTATACAGCTTTATTGAATAAGCTGACATCAGTAGAAAGTATCATGAAAGAGAGGCTACTGACGTCACCATTCGAGGAACAAGATATGAAATTGCAGTTAATGGAAATTATTGACAGAGAAAAGAAAACAACCGTATTACGAGAAAAGCTTGAAACAAATTACCAGGTGGCTGTGGAAGCGAAGGAGTCTGAGGTAAATTCGTGATGTGTTACTTGGTGTAAGTTCATAGAGGCAGTAGTTAGATTGAAAAAATGATAGTAATAACAATAAAAAAGGAAAAAGGACAGTTGGTTAATGTATCTGGTTTAAATCCAAGGGGACAATCTTCCCCAATTCAAAACAACCAGTTGGATAATATTACAATAATTTGCGCTGAAGTGAACTCTTGTCGAGATAGACTGCATACCAGTATAGTGGGTCTTTTGTCTCAAGCGGATCGTGACATACAGCGATGGTCCATGATCGTCGAGCAAAATCGAAAGAGTCCTGTGTGATGATTAAGATAGAGTGCAAGTAAACCTTATCACGGTCCTGATATAATGAAAATGTTCAGTTCGAGCTGCGCTCAAGAGGTCGTTTGAAAGCCTTAGCCACTTTAAAGATTCGTGCCGAACGACTTCAGATTGCTTTTGGATGCTCAATCACTTAGTGCCTCGGGAGTCCTGTATATCGTCAAGATCACCGACGTAACTGTAGAAAGTAAGATTTATGATGTAAATAGAAAAGAAAGAAAGAATTGAGCTCGGTAAATAAATAGAGAAAGATGTGTTCGTCTTGTCAAGACCATAGGACAAAGAAAAAGAAATTAAAAAAAAAAAAGATTCATGTTGTTTATTCTAAATTTAGGAGTCATAATTTCTTACCCATGTTTGGGGTATCCTCGCACACTTTTTACAAAGTTTATATACTCTTTCAGATTTATGAACGAGATATAAGAATTCTACAGCTTCAGCAAGACTTGCAACTGATCGAGAAAATCCATTCTGAAAAACAGCAACGAACTTTGACAGAAGCCTTGAAACAATCTTCCCAGGATAACAACATGTCTAAGGCTAAAGTGGCAAACTATTGCGAAGACATATCCCTGTGTAGAAAGAAAATCCAAGAGGATAAAAAAGAACATCGAAAAAATGAAACCCTCTTGAGGAAGGTTAGATGTTCATGTATACTTGTATAATCTTTGTGGATGTTGTCTTTCTTTTCTTTCATTTGCAATCTCCTTCTTTCACGATCACTTAGATTTAAGAAATAATAAAGAAAAGTGCAAAAAAGTTGTGATGATAAGGATATTAAGACTTCCATAGGGATACCTTTGCAAGAAAATAATAGATAAATATCTGATATGTTTCATGACACTCCTATACATTTGTGGGTATTAGAAGAGATTCAAGATGGCTACGGAAGTGTTCAACTGGGTGCAAAAATACGATGCTGATTTAAGTGGAAGACAGGTAAGGGATCTTTGTTTTACACATGAGATGCTTCCTTCAAAAAGCAAGAAGGCTTTGTAAACTTTTCTTAATCATACAGCCTTTGTCACAGCTTTAATATAATCTAAATGAAGGACGTTTACGGTGTGGCCTTAAAGAAATCTGGAGAGAAATATCGAGCTTTATTGATCTCAGACGTTGATCATGAGATAACCACATTTATTGCAATGACGAATAGATTTCTGCTCGGAGACATATATTATGTAACGCTTAAGAGGTGAATGAGCTAGACTAAATGTTTACACACTAGTTACACCTTTCCAAGCAATCCCCATTAACCAGAAGAAATAGGTAGAGACTGGAACCGGATACCATATAGGATTTATTTAAGTGCCTTATCACGTTTGTCTGCGCCATTTTGCAAGTGGATATGAAAATACCCATGAACCCTTGTCAGGACAACGACAGCTACTCAGATTTTGATAAACCACAGTCCATGGCATAGAAATCACCCACCATCCATGATCTTTTTATACACTTTCTTTCGAATAAGCACGTTAAAACGGCCAGACAGGTGATAATTTTTGGCCGAAGAAACCTGCAAATAGATTACTGAAAGTGCACTCAAAGCCAACGGAGGGAGTAGGGATCCTGATAAAATTACTGATTACTAATCCGAGCCCTAACTCTAGTAACCTTAAGAATTTGACTTGTAGGACGAATACGACCTTTACACGCGCATGTATGACGCTGACAAAGAGCAACTCGGGCAACTTCAAGAGCGGTTCTCAATCTTAGAGAAACAGTACGACGCCATTATCGAGGAGCGACGGGTCGCGGAAGAGGAGAAGGCGAGAAAGATGGAAGAGGAGAGAAAACAGAACCAAGCTGCTGAAGTTATACAAACCGTTTGGAGAAATTACCAATTCAGAATACTTATGCGTGCCAAATCAAAGAAGTCCTCAAAGAAAGGCAAAGGTGGAAAGTGATTTGAATTAACTAACCTTTAGAAACTCAGACCGTCATTAATTTACCATTCAGTTTTATTGTGGATCTCATTACAGTTTGCCAAGTTTCCATTTAAGTACAAATAAATCATTATTTTACATTACTTATGAATATCTGCGGATTTTTATGCATAGATGAGCTATGATCACGTCTTTGAACTGAGGTCCCGTAAAAATGTGTTGTAAGGAAAAAAAGAAAAGAAAACGTTGAAATTTGATTTCAACTTTGTTAACTTCTTTTGTATGATAATAAGATAAATCAGCTGCTAAAGTTAAAACAAGGATATACCGTTATCATTATGAGTTTATAATCGCCGGGGGACGGTACTTTAAAGTAAAGACCAGATATCATTTACCTCTAGGCTACGTTAAATTGTAGAGACTGGTTGATTATTACAAAAGTTGCCGAATGTCTGACTCACATCTTATTATACCTCCGAGCAAAATACTTCTAAAGAAGGCTATGTTTCAGGGGAAAAATAGTTTCAATATACACGCATAGGTATAACCAAATTAGAATGGAAGCTTACCATATTTAAATTAAACAATAACAACAACAACAACAAAAAAAAAAAAAACACAAGGAAGAGTGTTCATACACGCGTTTACTCGAACACCCAAACTGTCATTGAATGCCAGTATTCTACATCCCCCGTCCCCCTTCTATTCTTGAAGTGGTGAAAAAATCTTCGATCATCGATTTTGTTCTTCCATGGCGAAGTCTTTCACTTGAGTTCGATGTAGAGGTCTGTTTCGTAAATTCATATCAAAATAGCTTCCTCCTTGTCTTGTTCCTCGAAGTAAGTAACATTGATGTATGTTCTCTGGAAAAGTAACGCAAAAAGAGGACACATGAATTTGTGAAATACATAATTTAAAAATTCTTCCCACCGACTAAACTTGTTTTTCCTCGTTCGCGATAAACAAGGCCTAGAATATTAGAATGACACCTTTCCCTTAATCGGTGTCAAAGGAAACTCCAACTGCTCCAAAACTAATGATAAAACATACTCTGTATGGGAAGTAAACTTTAGGTTAGCAAATAACACTCTATTATCTAACTTTTCTCTACTACATCGAGGAACCTCAGACAAAAGAACTAACATTGGTTTCAAAGGCCAAAGTATACACAGCAAAATATTATATGTCCCCATCTTATGATGGGAAATGGAAACAAACTAGAGACGAAAACAGGAAAAAGAAGACGGATTTCAATTGAGCTTTCCGGGTCCACTCACAGTTTTTTGTTGTAAAAGCTCCTCTAGCACCTCATAAAGCTGATCAAATGATGGACGTTCCTCAGGGTTCCTGTGCCAACAGCCTAACATAATGTTATAACTAAAAAAGTAACGCAGAAAACACTTTATTAACTTAATTACATAAAGCTTAAGCTGAACTCAAATTTAGACCCCCAAAAATAAAAGGCTGTTTTTATACTGATCTAAAATTTCAACGGCAGTTTACAGTAAAATACGCTTATTCGTGCCACCGCATTGAAACACTGAAATCAAACATTTGCTGACAAATTACTCCACAAATGAATGATAAAAATACTAAGAACTAATACATGAGAGAAATCACTGAAACGAGAGCTCAAAGCGTTGTTTTCTGTGAGTTCAGATTCTAGATCCCTGTGAAGAAACTTGTCTCAGGCGGTTGATTTTGATTTACATTATCAGAGTTTTAGTGGAATTGCCACCAAAAGCCATCTTGTAGCCTGGCAACCGACGCAATTTAATCGCAAACTACAAATTGAAAAACACCATCTTCCCTGACAAAAAAAGGTTTAATTCAATTTTTCATCAAAAGCTGTTTACACACGCTTTTTTATTCCGTCAAACAACCGCTTACGTGGGGTTCATTGATTGATTTCACGATAATATGCACAGATAAGCTATTGACATGTTAAGCTACAGACGCTGTTATCATTTAGGATAACTATTACCAGAATATACATGAGCTGTTTGCTCACAGAGGTCTCGCTATTTTGCGTCAACTGATTGCACACAAAATAGAACTAGATAAACAAGTGAAAAACAATAGAGGGGTAAGCTATGAAATGTTTAGGTATTTTATGAGAGTCTGTCTTGGAAAACAATGGCCGTGAAGAATGAGTTATCTGGGAGACAAGTTGCTGTTTGGAAATTGCACAAATATGGCGATATATAGAATTTCCAAAAAGTGATTTTCAAACCAACTTCTTAACTCTGCGGTTGGGTATCATGTAGCTGTAAGCATAAATTCTCACCCCTTCCACAATCAAGCTCAAAATTGCGAGTCTTCTTTGGGGATTAAGTAGCTTACTAATTTGTGCAGGCAGGTCGATGATGAACACGTTTGGGCATGCCCGGATATATGGCAGATATAACCTGTCCATGCAATTAGGTTGGCATGAAAGGTATAGATAGGACTCGTTTATGTAGAGGCAATTTAGAACTTCCTCCCCCCCCCATTGAGATGGCGCCGCCCCCCCGTGAGATGGGGGGGAAACGCTTGGCAAAGTTTTATATTTTTTTCTTCTCATTATTGTGTACGTGCTTCCATTCGTTTCTGGTACTCAACATGATTTCAACCATATATGCGTCCACAAGAAACTATAAATCGTTTGTTAGTATAAACTGCCTTGTATCAGACCGGATTTATTCAATTTCAAATTTTTTGTTGGCTTTATTGGAATCGAGAGAATTAATTCAGTTTCCCTTTCTACACAAGGAGGCATTAAAAGCTCAACTTAGGATTCATCTATTTAGAGTTATCATGGCCAGCCCTGTGTAAGTAAAAGGAATAAAGTGTTCTTCAACGTTGTCAAAAAAAAACTGCAACAAAATTGAAAACATGTTGGCTGTAAAGATGAAAAAAATAAAAATACTGTAGATATAACTCAGTAATCTTGCCAACAAAACAAAGAAACCTATAAACGCAGATTGACACTTCCAGGTTGCAAATGTCGCTACAATAAGTGCAAGTTTATTTTTTCAGCTACCTAGTATACTTATCGTTATACTATGTTTTATCTTTTTGTCATAATGTATCTAAAATTAAAAGATACAATACGACTTACAGTGAAATAGGTCTTTGTTTAAGAACATATCCATCCACCATCCATCAATTAATTAATAAGCGAGTCCATCAATCAATCGATCGATCGATTAATCAATCAATCAATTGATCAAACAGTTAATCAATTACCTGATAATCAGTTAATCAATCAATTAATCAATTGATCGATCGATCAATTCATCAGTCAATTCTAGGAAGCAAAAGAGAAAACAAACAACGAAACGAACTTAGCATACGCCCATACTTATTTCGTGGAATAGTTTGTCCTAAGGCAGTCACCGCCTGTAAGACATGGTGGTGTCGTATAACAGATCTTGAAAGCTGTCTATAATATCAGAGTTTTGAGTTGTTGCTTTCTAATAAACAGTTCATAACAGCAAGATCACATAATAAAATTGAAATATATTCCAGGACTTTTTAGCCGAACACTTATATATTGTTTGTGCTATAGAACTATGGAGTAACACTCACACTTTAAAACTATCAATTGATGAGTTTAGAGAAACAGTTAGATTAACAGAGACTTTCCATAAGGAAGATAAGAAACACGGAAAGTAACCCAAATCGGGACGATCGTACTTGGCCTGTGCCGCCTGTAGTTGTGGGTGTGGCCGTAGTTGTGGGTGTGGCCGTAGTTGTGGGTGTGGCCGTAGTTGTGGGAGGGGTGGTGGTGGGAAGAGTATTACATGCTTCCGTGTCGCAGCACTCTACGGTGCAGGATTTGATCTGCGCTAATTTCGCTGCCTTTGCTTTAGCGTCTGAACAAACGTATTGTTGAGTAAGTGAGCAGTTCACAGCCGAGGCACTGGTGGAATTCACCTGTAAAAAAGAGCAGTATTTAATACATCACAATCCCTGGAGAAAAGCAAGTGACTGCTTCTGGGAGAGTCTCAAGGAGGTTAAACGTTGGCGGTGAAAAGGACAAAACATTTAGCCGCCAGGCGTGATAGCCATTTTACCCTATAAGACTTCCCTCTAGAGGTTTGTTAGGGAGAAAAACTAATACACTGAGATTGTCGTAACTCAGAAAATAATATCGTCAACGCTAGTGTTGACAACGGGTTGAGTTATTTTCTACCGTTTTAGTAAAACCTCTCACAAGGTAACAGAGCCAAAAAATCCGTAGTGAAGTAAGGGTCTTTCTTTGCATTTGCCTCGTGCTGGGAAAATACAGCAAGGGGACAACGCTAGGTTTGCATTCGTAGAACACAACCACGTCATAATGTCTAATAAGATATTCCTTTTTTGGCGCCAACTATCTGACTTCAGGTTCATCGAATGACCAGTTATCATCTTGAATTTACCTTGACACCACAGCCATATACAAAAGTTTTGATGGTTGCTCCCAAGGCGAGTGCTTCAATCTGGGCTGTATAGCATGTATCATACGTCCGGTTTTCCCATAGATGAGTCAGATTCTCTGGTGGAGGCTGAGTGTCACAGTTTACTTCTACCTGTTCGGACACTTTATCGCACGTTTTCGGAATCTTCTCATCTGGTATGCAAAACTTGCAAGTTATCCCCGAGACTGAAAGGGGATTTGAAAGCGTGATGGTTAGGATAAAGTCCGGCAGGATTTTCCAGAGAAGGGGGAGAAAAAGGGTCGAAGTGCTGAAACTGTTTCAAAATTTCGAACATAGTAATGCCTCCCTCAAACATATCTAGCAAAGTGACGAGTAATTTGTAACTGCTTAAGACAAATCTCGATTGAATTAGAATTTTTACGGAGCATGATGACATGATGCAAATATTCTTTTACCACTCTAAAAATTTCAATATGTATACAGTTGCGGATTTCAAATGAATCATAATAGAAAAACTTGTTGATTGGTGCTAAAAATCTTTTTAAATGTCTCATTCTTCGCAAGCATTTATGTATGTTGAAACATAAAAGCTGAAAATTTTTATAAATACAAATCTCACCACGAGAACAATATTTTATGACTGAGAAATTTCAAATATTTGCACACACGAGATGTAAAGGACCATGTTTAAAATAAATAACGATAAAAATGAAAATAATTTCATTGTAATTGGAGTTTATTATCAGTGAGAAGTCCAATCAAATTTAAGCGCGCTCAAAAAGCTTTCAATGTGCTTCATTTTTGTACGTTGGGAATACTGTTGAGAACCAAGTAAATAATTTTCTTTAGGGGGTTTCGAAAATATTAGAAACAATGAAACATTCTTATTTTTGTCCGTGAAGGTTTTTTTACGTTTGGGTAACAGCTGCCTATCCACGCTCATGCCTTACTGAAATCGTGTGATCAGCATGGCGTGAAATTATTGATATTTGATTGGTGGACTTCATGTGGCATGACAACACGTGCGGCGAATCTTGTTATTTATCACAATTTCCTTTTTCGGTGATGAAAATGAACATGAACGTGGTGTCGCTAAAATTATTAAAATGTTTTTATCGCTACGAAATCAACTTCTCTAGGATTACCTTTGCGCCGACAAAAAGCTTTTTTGAAGAGAAAGAAAAATATCTGCGAATGTTTAATGCACCGTAGCATAATATAAAGCAAATCTGCTGTACGAGGGTTGTAATATTGCACAATTTACGAATAGCTGTTTTTCGAAGGATAAATGTTGTTATTTTGATTTAAAGCATCAAACTCTGCATTGATTAAACAACAACCTTCCTGAGAAAATTATGCTCTCTACAGAGAAATTTGCAGAAGTTGTATCCCGTGTATTTCCGCAGCAGCGTGTGCTGAACTGTATTTGGAATTTATCCGTTATGCAGGGATTATTTCCAAGTTTCATTATATTTTTCGTTTCCCTACCATCGGTTGAACTAACCATTCATAGCTGTAAAATGAGATATGCCTACTTGCGATCCTCAATTAAAGTTATAATACTCTTTTCATAGAGATTTGGATGAGTCGACAATGCTGATGGCGTACAGACGTAAGATTTAATACAGCGTAAACAAGTAAATAACGTTGGATGAACTCACCCCCTGGGAAAGAGAAAAACATTAAAGCCACCACAACGGCAATGGAGTAATTCATGCTGGTGATTTACTGAAGAGAGCTTAGAACAGAGTTTATGGCAAGTGTTCTTCGTCTAAAAGTGTAGTGATCCAGCTGCAAGTTGCAAACAGCTGAAATATTCCAAATTCAAAATATAACCTGAAAGGTACAAATTTTAGTTGCCCGGATGAACGGTGAATGGTAATTTACATTCTAATTTACATGTTCTGAATGGACAAGCAGAATTGATCACAACAAGTGATTAAGTGCAAAGGAGACGATATTGAAAACACCGCTCTTGTGGAGATTTCACTCAACTATTACCTTATTTTCCTTTACTTTCACAAGAGAAGTCAAAGCCTTGGTAAAAAACAAAAATGTTGTCCTTTGTATACTATTAGTTACGGAAATCGCATAAACGCAAGTACATTTCGTGACCTATGCTCGTAGTGATGTTTTCAAAGTTTTCAAAACATCGCCAGGAAGAGAGGGGGGTTGGGTTGACGGGAGTGCGAAGGGCCGGGGGGGGTTCCAGCCTCCTCAAACGAAAATCTCAAGGGTTTTACTCTCGTTTTAAAACGGATCTTATCATACGAGGTTTTATTCTGCCAAGAACGCTGCGAGAAATTTGAATAGGTGGTTCGCACGTTAAGTCATTGCCGCCATAGTAGATGGAAATAAACAATAGATATCTCATTAGCTCCTTGTGTTCGTCCACTAGCATTTTTTCCTTTTACCATTGTTGCCTGTGTCCCTAGAGATTGATTGTAAACCACTTAAGCCCCGGCCAAACGAGAAATGTTTAGCCACGCAACAAGACGCAACATTGTTGGGTCGCCCAACATGTTTTTATGGAAGAGGGTGGCCAAACGATATCCAACAAAACGCAACATTTTCGTGAATCCATGCGTGACGTATGCGTGACGTCTATTGTGGCCTCAAAATTACCCACAATTTACCGCTTTGTTTGTCAAAATTCAAGATGGCGAACTGCTTCGATGACGATGCTATATTACAGCGTTTAGCAACCACGGTTTTACTCGATATTTTGAGCGATGATGAAAACGAAAGGCCTGCCAAACGCGGGAAGACTAGGCAGTGGATTAAGAGGAGAGGAGAAAAGGGATATTTATGATAATAACAATAATAATAATAATAATAATAATAACAATAATAATAATAATAATAATAATAATTTAACATTTATTTTGCGAAAATTAACATGTGGATATGATCAAATGCGCATCACAACACTCTTCGGGAGACTTTGGCCGGACTGCATCAGCAGTTTACAAACAACCTTATTTGAAGATGCCCCCTCCCCCCTATTCCCAGTAAACAGGCCAGACCACATCACAGTAATCTCGTGACTGGGTTCTTTAACGTCCCCTGCCTAACCAAATTGACTAATTAATAGATGTAGGAGACGGGACCTACGGTTTATTCGTCCTTATCCGAGAAGACTAGAATGTCTATCCATTTCTTGATATTATGGAAAGGTAGCGCATACTCCTCAGTTATTTTAAGACCTTTAGTGTTGGTCCGGCCGGGGCTCGAACCATCGACCTCGACCTCCCGCACAACAGTCCGGCGCTCTAACCAATTGAGCTAACCGGGAGGCGGTTATTTTGAGAATATTGAGGCGATATTTTGAGAATATTGTAAAAGAATTCCGCGTGGAAGACACTTCAGGCTACCGTGAGATGATGCGAATGACCCACAGATGNAAAAAAGAAAAGAAAACGTTGAAATTTGATTTCAACTTTGTTAAGTTCTTTTGTATGATAATAAGATAAATCAGCTGCTAAAATTAAAACAAGGATATACCGTTATCATTATGAGTTTATAATCGCCGGGGGACGGTACTTTAAAGTAAAGACCAGATATCATTTACCTCTAGGCTACGTTAAATTGTAGAGACTGGTTGATTATTACAAAAGTTGCCGAATGTCTGACTCACATCTTATTATACCTCCGAGCAAAATACTTCTAAAGAAGGCTATGTTTCAGGGGAAAAATAGTTTCAATATACATGCATAGGTATAACCAAATTAGAATGGAAGCTTACCATATTTAAATTAAACAATAACAACAACAACAACAAAAAAAAAAAAAACACAAGGAAGAGTGTTCATACACGCGTTTACTCGAACACCCAAACTGTCATTGAATGCCAGTATTCTACATCCCCCGTCCCCCTTCTATTCTTGAAGTGGTGAAAAAATCTTCGATCATCGATTTTGTTCTTCCATGGCGAAGTCTTTCACTTGAGTTCGATGTAGAGGTCTGTTTCGTAAATTCATATCAAAATAGCTTCCTCCTTGTCTTGTTCCTCGAAGTAAGTAACATTGATGTATGTTCTCTGGAAAAGTAACGCAGAAAGAGGACACATGAATTTGTGAAATACATAATTTAAAAATTCTTCCCACCGACTAAACTTGTTTTTCCTCGTTCGCGATAAACAAGGCCTAGAATATTAGAATGACACCTTTCCCTTAATCGGTGTCAAAGGAAACTCCAACTGCTCCAAAACTAATGATAAAACATACTCTGTATGGGAAGTAAACTTTAGGTTAGCAAATAACACTGTATTATCTAACTTTTCTCTACTACATCGAGGAACCTCAGACAAAAGAACTAACATTGGTTTCAAAGGCCAAAGTATACACAGCAAAATATTATATGTCCCCATCTTATGATGGGAAATGCAAACAAACTAGAGACGAAAACGGGAAAAAGAAGACGGATTTCAATTGAGCTTTCCGGGTCCACTCACAGTTTTTTGTTGTAAAAGCTCCTCTAGCACCTCATAAAGCTGATCAAATGATGGACGTTCCTCAGGGTTCCTGTGCCAACAGCCTAACATAATGTTATAACTAAAAAAGTAACGCAGAAAACACTTTATTAACTTAATTACATAAAGCTTAAGCTGAACTCAAATTTAGACCCCGAAAAATAAAAGGCTGTTTTTATACTGATCTAAAATTTCAACGGCAGTTTACAGTAAAATACGCTTATTCGTGCCACCGCATTGAAACACTGAAATCAAACATTTGCTGACAAATTACTCCACAAATGAATGATAAAAATACTAAGAACTAATACATGATAAAAATTTGTGAGTGGAATGGTCACTCTTGAAATAAATGCGTACGGTAATCAAATACATCAGGACAAGATGCAGAATGAAAAAAAAACTGATATAATCTGAAAAACATACTTCGCGGCTAAGAGTTACGGACTTACAGCTCATCTGAACAATGCGCTGGTTTTGGCAATCTTTCTCCGTCCTTTAGCAATTCGTGAAGCTCTAAAATGCCCTTGATACCCGTGTATGGTAGTTCCCCTGAAAAAAAAAAGGATCAAGTGCATCATGACAAATTTTTGATGGTAATACCCCAGCATCCCATTAGGGGAAAAAGGTTCATCGATATTAGTTACCCCGTATGTGCGATGTAGACATCAGCCAAACCAGGAGAGGATCCTCAAGAAACCTCATGGTCAACCTTACTAAATCTACTGGGTAATAAAATACCTTTTGATGTAACTTGGATGCTACAAAATGTTATGAGAGTATCTAAATAGTTTTTTTTCGATTTTTCCGAAATATTTTCTGGCATGCAATCTCATCATTGATGGTATTAAACTAGAGTTCTGCAGCGCCGATAATGAGGGCCTGGTGGCAGGATATACCTTTGTGGGTAATGGGTTTGAGGGAAAGCTGATTGTGTCCACTTTTTTTTCCTGTTCATTTACTAACTTGATTTTGAACATAATTTTATCAAATAAGGTTTTTATTTACCTAGAGTAACAATCTCCCAGAGGGTTACTCCAAATGACCACCTATGAAGAAGTAAAGTATAATGATAAGCCTTGGGAAATAAGAAGTATTTTAAGGTAATTAAAATTTTAGTCTGGGAATACAATAACTTACACGTCTCCCTTTATTGTACATGTTCCCTTTAATGCTTCCACTGACATCCATAGCCACGGAACTCGTCCCTAAGAAAAAGTTACAAAGTTAATTACCAATTCAAATGCCTTGTTGTTTGGAGAAAGTTTTACTGGCATAAAATTTTTTCCATCATGAGGTCAGGAGTGTTTTCGCGAGGATAGACTGGCGGTATGGCAACCCTTAGCAGATTTTATCACCAGAGTCCAATAAAAAGTTCATTGTTGCAAGTCTGATTCGTGTGAATTGAATCCCGGCTCAGATTGTATTTCTGCAATCACTTGACCTTCCTTCGTTGTGACTATTCAGAAAAGATTTATCGGTGTAGTGAAGTCTTTCTGTGACGTTCTTCGGTTATGTTATGACTGCAATTTAAAGGTGGTGCGCAGAGAGCCGATAGCTCTTTGGAGAGGAGTGTGTGCTGTGCTGGAAAACCGGCTTTCCACCCAAACTGAGTCAGTGATGTAAATTAGATATAGTGTAGAGTTCTTTTCAACTGACGCTCTCTATGTCTGTCGTAACAAGAACGAATGATCGAGAGGCAAAATAAATTGATAAGTGAAATATGTACCTCTGTTGTCTTGATGTACTGACCATCTGCAGATACGTCACGTGCCATTCCAAAATCAGCCACCTTCGCTATCAGTCCTTTACCAACAAGAACATTCCTGCATGCTAAGTCGCGATGAATGCACTGAACCACGGATAAAGGAAATTTGGTATAGTTTTCTAGTCATGCGCACTTGTGAAAGTGTCATTATAATTATAATTAGTACTAGCCATTGTGTGACCTGAATTCTTATCAAACCAATTTTTTTCTGTTGTTATACTTGCTCCATTAGAAGCTCTACATGATATTCTGTTTTTCCCACGTTGGATTTATTGCCTATTTGTCATTGCTTTGTTTTCATTTTTTTTCGCTGGTATTGTACCTTTGATTCTTTTAAATTTCGTTTCTCTTTTACTCGCATTCCTCTTTTGACTTTTTTCCCTTCGCACAATTAGCTCTGATTCCGTCCACAATTTACCAGTTGCAATCCGCAACTATTCAAGTTGGAATTTACCGAGCTACTTAATGGTAATGAAGATGTTACCAAAAGTATCACTCATGAATGCATGAACAAACCTGTTTACTTTCCAAGTGTCTCATGCCACTTGCGACATCTGAAGCAACCCTCAACAATTCTCTCTCTGTCAGCCTCGACCATATGTTAACATAAGATGGTTCAACTTGTTGATTTTGGACGCGACTGCTGCGAAGTAACTTATCAAGACTTCCGCCAGAGACAAATTCAATGACGACGCAAAGAGGCTCTGCAAGTGAGAAAAGAAACGTTACATGTGTGATATTTTGCTAAGGAAACTTACAGGGCTTTCAAAGATCACAATGCACTGCTGACTCTAGATGAAAAGGTTTTATTGGATTTGTTCTGATGGCCCAAAATGATATCGCTACTTAACACTAATCACTCAACAAATAATGACATTAGTTATTTTGCATACACGCTTACCATAGAAACAGCCTCTCGGAAACACCGTCGAACCTGTATAAGTGGTCGGTTGTCAAAGTCCCGCAATTTGTTTCCCTTAATCACAGTAATTTTCCCATCTCTATAAAGCGGTCCACCGGCTTTCCTTTAGTTCCAAAACCCTGTTTTTTTCTTCCACCTGTTTTGAGCCGTCGCTCAAAGCGGAACTACCCAAATAAAACTAAGGATAATCTTGCAAGTAAATTCTATTCAAATTTCTCCCCTCAGTGAAATCAAGGTTAGTAGTAGATTTTATTAGGCGAGTCTTTATACATCGTAAATCATGGCATAAAATGGCGTTTTCAATCGTTTTTATATGACCCCATTCTTTAGAACCTGCATTAAGCAGGCGACCTGCATTAAGTGGCAAGCCATACCCCTTCGGTGACCGCGGTTTTGAATTTACCTTTGTTTTAACGGTTTGTCTGTTGGTGAATCAATAAATAAATTTTATTGTAGTGAATTTGAAATCAGTGTATCAAAATTCATCTCACTGCATAGTGTTTTTAAAAACTCTCGGCTTAAGGTGCAGAGCTTCCCTAAGTCATCGAAATAATAAGGTGGCTCTGAACTCATATTACAATTCTTTTAACTACTTAACAGCGTATTTTTCATCGATCTCCTCCACACAAACTGTCGTTGAAATAACTTCCCTCCAACGGTCCCCTTAACTTTTTTAATCACTCATCACTTACCTTCAAAAGTGCAAGCTCCAACCAAACTGACAATATTTGGATGGCGACCAACTTGGATGAGTGTCTCCAGTTCTTTGATGAGCGCCATTCGGTGCTGCATGTTTTTGTTATCTGTTAGAGAATACGTGGTATAAAAAGATACTATATGATATAGTGGTCACAAACTAAGTTACCTTCTGCTTTAGGAGTTTTACAATCAAAAGGTTTGTATGACGTTCTTATGACTCGGGGTTTGAACGGTTAGTAATTATAGTTTAAGTTGGCTCGTCGCAAAATACTGATCTTGAAAATTTCCCCAAGTTTTTGGGTTTATGTCATTTTCTGTACAGTTTGATGTCCTGTTCTTTGTCATCATTAGCCTCATTACTTCAATTTGCAGTTGATTGTTGTGAAATGATGTCTGCTGCTCTTCATTATGCGACCTGTACACCAATGTAAATTACTTTAGAGGGAGTTGTGGAGGTGAGATTTAACTTCTGTCAATACCCTCTGAAGGATATATCCTCGATCATTGAGGTCTCAATGACGTGGAATGATTTACCAACCTTTCAGAGTTTTCACCGCTACTGAAAGTTCATTTCCATCAGTTCTTAGGTAAATTCCTTTCTTAACCTCTCCAAACTCTCCTCTGCCAAGTTTCTCCTCTGAGATAGTGAGTCTATCCCTGGGGATCTCCCAGTTTCTGTCAACTGCCATTAATTGTAAATAAGTTTCGTTTTCAACGACACCGTTTTCTCCAGTAGCAGATGGGTGTGGGAGTTGACCCTCATCAGTTGATGCAGACAGGCTGTTTCGTAGCTGATTTATCGTATCATTAGTGTTCGTGATTTTTATCTCAAAAGTCTCTTGAGTCCTTTTATAAACCTGATTTGACAAAAGACAGATTATATCACACCAGTATGCTTAAAAAAAGGTATGTGTGTACCAAAGAGAGGATTTTTTTTGTTTGAGTGGATCTCTATTGAGCTTCGTAAAACCGAAACTAAAATAGTAAAGTTCACAACAAAGGTAAATAAAATTTGAACCAAGTATAAAATTGAACCACAACATACACAAATGGTCTCTGGTACCAGGAAATACAGCTGATCAAGTCCAGATTGGTCAACTTAGTTTGCATTTTTAAATGGAAAAAATGAATTTTTGGCGCATATCAGTGGTGGGACCAAACGCAGATCTTAGTGAGGAGAAACTAGTACAATCTCAGGATGACTAATGAAAAAATTAACGAAAGGCAATGATTTGGCGAATTAAGCACTTACCTCCTGGTCCAGTTGGTAAGTAAATCTACTTTCCAATCTCCACTTGATAATAAGCAGAACTATGACCGTGATGATGAAAATTGAAGCCCCAGTTATCACGGTGGACCAAATTATTGCAGACCTATTATCATTGGTAACTGTGTTAGGTTCTCTGTTATCTGTTGAAATTACGAGATTTAACGAAAATTATCCAATTGCTTAAAACAGGGTACTGTGTGCTAGATAAAATGCAACAGTAGAGCACACATTTACTAAAAGGGTAGTGACCTTTCTTTAACAACAAAAAAAAATACTCAAAGCGTCGCTGATGTAGCTCATGGATAAAAACCTGAAAACAGTGATGTCCGAGATGTCTCTTTCTAAAAGATAAAGTCTAGACTTTCGATCGAATTGATTTTGGCATATTCATGTCGCTTAATTCGCATCATGACTTTTGCAAAAAAAGAAAAAACTTAATTCTGCCAATATTCCAACCTACGTTTAAGAGGTATTTTGGAAAACATATTTTGTAACTAAAACAAAGGAAGTTTGATCTCTCCAGATTACAGTCCGCCATATATGGTCCTATATCCTAATTGTATATTGAGCTGTCAGCTTACCCGCCGTCATCAAAGGTTTTTTATGTCTTTTTGCGATCATCAGGGTGGCTTCCTGGGAAGATATATTTCCCAACGAGTTTTTAGCGACGCAACGATATTTAAAGTGCTTTTCTGTTCCCTCATTAAATACCAAAGTGAGGATGGAGATGTTATCTTTTTGAATCGCTTTATCATCATCTACTTTGGAGTTGTTTTCTGACCAGCTGATCACAGGAAGAGGGGAGCCATTTGCTGCACACGAGAAACTAATGGACACGTTGGTGGCATCGTCGTCAAAGTACTTAGTCTTGTCCTGGGGATGAATGGAGAACTCTGGTTTCCACACAACTAAAAGCAACATCAACGGATACAAAATAATCATTGTAATTAGTGGTCCAGACACCGACTATTTGCAGATTATTGTGACCGTTATGTTATTGAAATGTCTCAGTACCTGTTAGGTTCACAGTGGGTGATGTGCTTCGCCCCTCAGTGCTGTTTGCCTCGCACCAATACTGTCCTTGGTCATAAGGTTGGACAGATTCAAAATTCAATATTGAATAACCTTGAGACCCTTCTACGGAAGAACTTGAAAGGCGATCACCGTCTTTGAACCAGGTGATGAAGGGGCGGGGAACACCTGATGCATTACAGCTAAGTTTGGCTCTACTAGATTTTATAAAGTTGACTTTACGAGGCTGGTGATGGCTAAAAAGCGGGGACGATGGCTCTGTGATTTAAGAAGGAAAAGCAATTCAAAAATTTAAAATCAAAGAAAACACACGTCGAATTACACACTTCCCCTTATGACCACTGTGATATGACATTATTATCAGCGATTTCTAATTCAAATTGATGCACCTTCAAGGTTTTGTAACTTCGCAGTTTTTAGCGACTTAGTAATTCATAGGATGAATAAATGTGACCGACGTAAAAGTCTTCGATTCAATGTAAATATTACCTCAAATGAACGAAATGTAGTGTAGACACCAAACTAAATGCGAGCTACTTCATATACTAAACTGTATAACTAAAATGGAATTATACGAAATGTTACTTTTAAACGTCAACGCCATCGTTTCTATTGTGCAGCCAGACTGACTCGATGCTTTGCAAGTATAATTCCCTGAGTTCTTCTCGGTGGCATTTTGAATAGGGTAGTTGCACACTTTTGGACTTTCGTAATGTGAAATTTTATAGCCACCACCACAACTCAAGTGTCTCTGGTAGACATTGTTGAAAGAATACTGTATCCAATAGGGTTTGTATTGTTTCTCATTCTTATCAGCTTGTTTATTGCTTGTACAAACGACTGTTATATTGTAGCCAGTTGGAAGAACGTGCTCATTCGGGAATTCCAAGTTGTTCATTTCCACAGTTGGTTCGGTTGAAAATGCTAAAAAACAAAAGCATGTTAAACAAGACTGTTAAGACTCCATGCCATTAAAAACTTAACGTAAATAAAAGAAAACAGAATCATAATGTTATGGTCTGCAGTTATGAGTCTCAATTGCTCTGTACAAATTTTGTTTGGCCAGATGGATAGCAAACGGAATATAGATCTATGGTTAAAGACAATGGTTGGTCTTCTAGTCCTTGGCAATGTCCAGCCATAAAGCAAGGAATGGCTTGAACTAAGGTTTCTTCGACTTCTTTCTGATTACCGTTCTAGCCAGATTGAAGATTCTAGAAAGCGTGTAAAACAAAAATGTCAAGACTCCATGCCAAGATAGATTTACCGTAAATAAAAGAAAATAGAATGAGACTGCTATGGTTTGCAGCTGTGATAATGGCCCTGTACAAACTTCTTTCGACCAAATGGACAGTAAACGGAATATAAATCTGTGATTAAAGACAATGGCTCCTCTTCTAGTCCTCGGAAATGTCGAACCTTAAAGTCAGGAATAGATTGAACTAAGATTTCTTTAATTCTTTCTACTAACGTTTTAGCTGCGCTAAGTTCTGAACGAAACATAATTTACATTTTTTTTCTGATTAATAATTAGTGTTTCTTCCAAGTTACCTGCAAGGGTATCACAACAAGCAGTAGCTGCATTTAGACTAAAACTGGCAGATTTCAAAGGCATTTGAGATTTAACCTAACTAATGGGTATTTTAAACTGTAGGTACTTACGTTTAGTCGCATCTTCAGCTGATGAACATCTGCCTCCCACAGCCCCAATTTGTTGTTCGAGAAATAATAGAACTACACAGATAACCACTGGCATTTTACAGCTGGTTTTGGTCAAATCCTGATGGCTGCAAACTATGGATGTGAGATACAATTCATTCTTTATTGTATTAAGTTGTTCAGAGACATTAGCACGGAAGTTCTACCGATTGTGTTCGACAACTTCTAATTCATTTTCATACTTCTAAGCTAAGCTATGGAATACACTGCCTGACTTTATCCGTATGAGTGCATTTAAAGACTTTAGAAAGATAATCGAAGGCCGTATCTTTGTATAGTCGCTCCCGCTTATCCTCACTTTTCTGTTAATTTCTACTGATATGTTACATAATTATATTTCTAAATACTGTGTATTTAGTATATTTTAGTATAGTTAGTATTTTAGATCTTGTACAGATATATGTATGAATATATATAGATAATCTCCATTTTATGTTTTCTCGAAGATATTAGCTCCAACAAGCCACTCTAAAACTCGAGATGAAATAAAGTTTATGTTGATAATGATGATGACAACAAGTTAAAAGTATTGTACAGGTTACGGTACCCTAAGCTTATTCTCGATTTCTTGCTTCTTTGCAACCGAGATATACCTCGCTCCTATAAAAAGTGAACTGAATCTTAAACTCACAATTTATTTTGAGAAACTCCCATTGTATTTCACTCATCATTGAGGCAATAATGAGCGGATAGGATATGAGCTGTCTCGTGTCAGTTTAATATTTCTTGTTAAAGGCCCCAAGGTAATGAATTTTTAACATTTGTTAATTGCATTCATGGCAGGAAGTCGTGAAAACACCTGTCAAGACTATTTCAACTTGCAATTTGAGGTGCACGATTCCCTAATAGGAAATATAAGATTTCTTTATACGGATCTGTTACACCGCCAAAAGGAAGTTGATAGGCACCTTCAGAAGCCACGCATTTTTAAAGGGTTGGAAGAGATCTCCGTTTTGACTGATGAGATACCTGCAAAACAATTCAACTGAGGGTCTCTTATCGAGTTTGAGAGAGACTGACAGAGAGGGAGAATAGTGAGAAAAATAACATTTTTCAACAAAGGCGGTTTAAATACCCCAAAAGTAAACGAAAGTGAGCGGATCGATTAAATCTAGTCATCGCGATAGCTTTCAGTTATTGCTGATCGCTTGCAGCAGGTTGCATCATAATGATATTACGACTTGGCTTATCCTTAGGTGTATTGGCATCTAAAAGTCCTTGTATCTTTGATGTCTTTACGGTGTGGGCAGACATTTTTTTACACCGGCCACATCAAATGTTTTGGTGTCTTAGTATATTTTGGAGTCGCACTTCTTTTTAGGTACACTGCGCATGATTCCTGTGTCTACCTTGGGGTTGAACTTATGCTTTTAGCATTTGTGAAACCTTTCTAAACGATTCGCTAGACGTACGACAATAAGCTCAAAGACGTTAGGCAACCCAAGTTAATTTTTAAATGACCGAACAAGGAAGACACTAATGTTTTTGTCTTAAATGGTTTAGTGAATTATTAATATTGACAAATTTTAAAAGCAATATGTTGCTGTATTTCAAAATAAGCTGACATTTTAAATTGACATATTTCCTAAACATATTTAGCTTTTTGCCCCAGATCAAATTAAGTTTACTCGGAATGCTGCGAATCCTTGAGATCGGTCAATTCTCGTGTTAAATAGATTCTAGGATCCAATAAGTTTAGTTTATGGGAGCCCCTTTTAAGATATAAAAAATGAAAAAAGATTCTATAGGAAAAAAAAAAAAGATTACCTTGAAGTTTTCAAAGTGGTGTTAGACATCGGCGAATTTGCGGTAACTACACATTCCAATCAATGTGTATTTGTGCTCTTCTTAAAGGCCTATCCGCACTAGCAGACAAAACTAGAATTATCCCGACAAAATAAAAGGACAAATTTTTGTCTTTTCCGTTGCATCTGCACTAAAAATTTCGAAGGTGTCAAAGCTGTCAAATTCGGTCATCAGCCATAAATAACACCGATGCTATATATTCAATGTAATTTATTCAAATTAGCTTTTCCATTTCCTTTGCTTTGAGTGGGCACTTCTGGATCTTGTGCTAGGCGACTGGAAAATCCCTCCACTATTAAACTTGCTCCGGCTGCATCCAGCGCCTGACCTGCTCATCAGACTGGCCCCTATAATTTGCCTATGGATTCAAACTCCAATTACCAGGATTCATCTCAAGCTGTTTGAAGTTGTAAAATCCGCGAGTTTCGCAATGAAAGACAATTACTGCTATCTTTTAATAAACTAAACTCAGTTCAATTACCCCACTGGCGGTGGCGTTTACGACAAATGATCGACAAATTTATCACGGTTTCGTTTATTTAGTCGATTTTGCCAAGGTTTTACCCGGGACAAATTTTTTTTAGCGATCCGTTTGAAAATTTGCCCACTTCGGTCAAAATTTGTCGCGTCGCGACAAACCATTCGCACTTGTAAAGTGTTGGTGATGAAAGAAAATTTGTCTAAATCAACAATTTTGTCGCTAGTGCGGATAGGCCCTTAATATCAACCTTACTCACTTGTTTATTTTTCAGCTAAACAATCTGTTTCGCGCTCTTAAAATTCAATTTGAAACAAAGCAAGTTATAGCCCCATTATGTCTGTGACTTATATAGAGGGAAAGAGTAGTTAATGATGAATCTCATTAGTTGGAAATAAGTCTTCAAACATTGCCTTGAAATATTTCATTTATAAACATGTGCGAGGAGTAATATCAACTTCCTTTCGGTTTGACACGAAAGAAAACGACCTTGACACATCTTCATTAGAAAGTGTTAAAAGAAAAGTCCTTTATTTCAGATCTAACCAAGAAGGTATTACGCTGGAAGTTAACACCCAAATTTCTGCTTAAGCGTCTTTCCTATAACTAATAAGCCTGGAAAAATATTTGGTTTGCTTCAAGAAAATCATTCATTTCAACTGGAGTAAGTAAATAAAGCAAATTCGAGGCAAAATTGTCTCAAAGGTGCTTGCAACTATTTCCTTCTATTGGAGAAGAACCGGTACCAAATTAAAATGAGAATTAGGAAATGATTTTTCTCCCTTTTATAGCCTTTTATTTCCTCGTCGGTTCTACTTTCTTAGCGGTAAACATGTGACGCTTTTTTCTCACTGAAATTTACTGATCTTGAAGTACCATCGTTATTATTTTACTCCATTGGAAGAAATAACTGAAAATAGCTGTTTGGTAAATGCTTTCCAAAGAGACATTAGAATAACAGTGCGCAGCTTTTTTTTTTTATCTTTTATCAGTCATGCTTCAGTACGTGCCAGCCAGTTCCTGTCGGCCATTATCCTTGGCACACTCAACCCTTAAATTTTACCACCCAATCTATCAAAACAACTCTTTACCTTTCACAGGAGCGACAACTCACAGTTGTTAAGAATATTTGTGGGAATGAAAAATCCACGATTCTAAATGGATTAGGCGATGTAAAGTACGATGGTCATAGTTCGATGATTTCCGATGCGACTGAGAGATAATGTGCACAAGTGAAATAAACTTTTCTCTAAATGCTAAATAATTTCGAATGCCTGGTCCTGAAAATTGCTTTAAAGTACTGCAAAAGGTAATGGGGAAATTTACGGCAAGTTACTTTATCAAATCTATGCCTTTCATTCATTTGTGTAGAGGAACCATATGGTTTATTTACAATTGAGCGACACAAACCTCACAGTAGCGGAGGTAAAAATTTCGAGTTAAGTTCGTGAATTCAATACGGTGGAGAAACTGAATTAAATCCTACCTTCTACTATTCTCTCATTTTCAAGTGGTAATGATGCAAACGGTTGCATAGGTGAACTGGTTCTGTCTTTATACTGCGCATAATTATTAACAGCGACCACTGGCGGTGATACTTGATTATCCAACTAGTTTGCGTGATGTTCAGGGCGGTGATACTTGATTATCCAACTAGTTTGCGTGATGTTCAGTCTAGAGTTACATTTAACACGTTGAAAGAAACTTGAACAAACAAATGAAAATGGAAGCAAATAAAAGACCGGCACGGAGAGCTTTACTTGAAGATAAAAAATATTAAACATTCAAATTCTATGCTTATTTTCATCCAGTTTTCCTACGGAAGGAGATAGACCAGTTGAGCTTGCGGAAATATGATAACTGATAAACATGTCAAACTTCAGTCTCCAGGAAAAAATCGATCAATACGAAAATCATCAGTAAAATGTGGCAATATATGTGCAGTATTAAATTGCATACCTGACATCATGCACGAAGCAGAGAAGTAACAACTGTTAAATACGTCCTTGGTCACGAAAACAATCTTATTAGAAGCAATAATATTTCAGTTTTTGTTTGTCATCATTTCCGGACGTTTTACGGTTGAGATGGCGTTAATGCAATTATCTTTAAGCTTCATAGTTGGTATATTGCTCCACTTTATTTCTGTTTCTGACACGGAAAATACGAACACAATCTTACAAACATTTCATCTTTCAGGTCGTTCTACGGTTGAGATAACGTTGATGCAATTATCGTTCTAGCTCCATAGTTAATATATAGCTCCACTTTATTTCTGCCTCTAACAAGAAAAAACAAGTGTGCATAGCACACCACATCAGTTCGTGCTCTCTGTAAATTTAAACTGCGTCATAAATGGAATTTTCAACAACAGTAACCGCATGTTATTCTTCGCTTTCACGTTACGTCACAGCTAATTATGCAATGGCCTGTGAACCGGAAGTCGGCCATGCTGGTGGACAAGCGGCTGATCGCGTGATGTCAAAACAAAGGGGATCTAGGTGAATTCAGGCCACGGTTGTCGAAGGTCTTTGTGTTTTAAGCACTTAATCGATGGGCTACATTCGTGCAGTGAAGAATTGCGGACATAACAGTGCAAGAGATAAAGGAAGACTTAAATTTTACCGGTTTCCATTGATAACATTGAACAAGGGAGAAGAAATTCGCAAATTGAGTGAAGCCCGAAGAAGACAGTGTTTCGCGAGTATTTACAGAAAGGAGTTTGACGACAACTGAGAAAGCTGAAAACTCTCGCGTTTGTAGCAATCGTTTTATTTCTGGTAAGTAGATAATCTGAAATACTTTGGTAAAATTTTTTATCTCTTCTCGGGAATCAGTCCTCACTTCCACAAGGAATAAAATTGTCGACCGAACCAAATGATAGCGAATCACCTCGCGCACATGTTCGCACGTATGGTTTGTCATCTTTGAATTTTCGTGAATTATCAGGAGATAACCAAGTTATTTCCTACGAATTGTCCGACAAAATGACCTAAATTAACGATTTGTTATCGTTACATAGAAATTTTGTCAAAGAAATAGGACATTAATTAATGTTTACTTGTAGGAGAACGTGCTGAGCTCCTTGACACCACCAACCATTACTGGGCATCTACCATAACTCTTGGTCACGACAAAATTATAAATGTTTCCCTTGCAGTTGATCGAAATGCTCGTGCTCGAAAGAGGAATGAAATCAAGCGGAAATATGATGATTTAACTTCCTCTAGTACTACCAAAGGCAGCGGTGTGGGGGAGGTTATACAATGCAGCGAGTTTGTCGAGACCGAAACACCTTGTAAGTGTACTTTGTCATGACCCCAATGCGGTCCTAAAATCGCACACTTGCTTACTTGTTTCAAGTTTCTTCGAGGGAGGGTGTTGTGTGTTAACTAAAAATAATGTTGGCACTTACATCTTGTCTTCTTGTTGTCACTGTGCCAGAATGCAAATTTATATGGAATAATATTATCCCTTTCATTTCAATTAATTCAAATTGTAGACAGTATTGTATTTAGTAAGACAGATATGTTGGTAAAACCCAACAGCAACCCTGTTTTTGACCTTTCATTCGTGCCACCTATAAGCCTATGTTGGAATATTTATACAGCCATTACTAAATAAAATTATACAGTTGACATATGATGCATTTATATTTTTTATGGCAGCACACACAAGCAATTTTACTTCGGGTTATGTCCCATTGAGGATGGCAGTTCAGGGTCATGTCCCATTGATGATGGCACTTCAGGTTCATGTCCAATTGATGATGCCATTAACCTTGCTGACAACAGTGATTGTAATGATAATGATAATGATAAACATGACCAATTTTGCCAGACTGAAGGAAAGGTTTTGTCAGAGGGATGCTACCAGACTGACCTTGATATGGCTCAACTGGACAGACAGCAGATCTACTTGCAACACATCACTGATGAGCTAAGCAGTACAAAGGTACAACTACTGTCTCTTCAGTTAACTATGGAAAGCTTTACAAATAGTGACGAAAAAACCAAGTTTTATACAGGAGTCCCCACATTTTCCCTTTTAATGCATGTTTTTAATATTATTGCTCCTCGCATAAAAATAACCACCCAAAATGCACTTGGCCAGTTTCAAGAGTTTCTTTTAGTTTTAATTAGACTTAAACTCAATTCTCCATTGCAGGATTTAGCTTTTCGTTCCAATATATCTGTGCCAACCACATCAAGAATTTTTGACAAATGGACACATGTAGTGTCCATCAGACTAAAGTTTTTAATCCAGTGGCCAAAGCATGAGGAACTGCAAGCCACCATGCCTGCAGTTTTCCAACAATTTTTGCAAGAGAGTTGCAGTCATCATTGACTGCTTTGAGATCTTTATGGAAAGACCATCTAGCCTAATTGTTGTGACCATCCGGGAACTGCCTGGCGGTGGCTTTGTCCCGTGTGGCTTTTCGGGTAGAAATAGGTTCTTGAGGAAAAACGTTTTCCAATCGATGTTTAAGGATTCTACAGTCAATAACTTTCTTGGTTTGGTTAATATTGGATTTAACACTAATGCTAGGGCAATGACCTGGTCTAATTATAAACATCACAATACTATAAAGTTTCTTATTGGTGTAACACCACAAGGTGTTATCTCATTCATTTCAAAGGCATGGGGTGGGAGAGTGAGTGACAAATATCTCACAGAAAAGTCTGGTTTGTTGAGAAAGCTCTTACCTGGGGACATAGTGCTTGCTGACAGGGGCTTTGATATTGCTGACTCTGTTGGTCTTTATCAAGCTCACTTTCATATACCAGCATTTACTAGAGGTAAGAAACAGTTGTCTGCAGAGGAAGTGGAGCAAACCAGAAAAATTGCTGAGTCCGAATCCATGTGGAAAGGGTGATTGGTCTTGTCTGCAGAAAGTGTTGCAAGAAATACTCCCTATTCAGCTGGTGACAGCTCGGCAAGGTGATGACTTGGCTCCAATAGACAAAATGGCAGTAACTTGCTGTGCCCTTACTAATATATCAGAGTGTCTGTGCCTTTTAATTAGAGTATTTAGACCCTTTGTGGGAGTATCAATATTTTATCAGGTATCATTGGGAAAATATGATGTTTAATTCAGCAACAGTTTTCTCTTCAAGGAGTTTCTAAGTTAAGAAATATAACTTTTAGGCCTAATCCATACCTTACAGTCAACGGAATTGAATTAAATTTGTGTAGTTATTAATAATTATGGTGGTTCCTAATACTAATAAAACATTCAACCAACGATAAAAATGCCTAAAGTGGCTAATGAAGGGGTTAACATTTTTTGTATAGGTGGCTTAAAAAATGTTCCTGTTGTAATCAAAAGGTATCATAACAAAAAAAATGCAAGAACTGAATAACTTTGGACATCATCAACAACAACAACTTTTCTTTATACCAACAATTCCAAATTTTTGCACATCAATTTCATGGTGCACATGAAGGGCAAATCCATTCTCCATCAGGCTCTGTTCTAAGTCCCACACATGACTTATACGCTTCATTTGCTGCCCGGTTATCCACGAGGTCTGGAGTACCAGATAATTCACAATGTCGGGATATTCCATGCTAGGATAATCCACTAAATCCTCGCTACACTCAGATTTTTTTAACGTGTATGGATCAAATCCAAAGATAAGAACTTTTACTCGATACCTGGCCTTAGCAGAACTGGTAAGACTGCCATAATTCTCCGAAAAAGGAACACTTTCGCTCGAAGGCGCGTCTGCCGAAGCCATATTTACTTTAACAGATGTCCACCAGCATGGCGGTCGCGACTTACGTTACAAAATTTTGACACGTGGCTGAAAACGAAGAATGGGGCTTACAGGCCGCAAACCAGGCTGATATAACTGGCTGGCGTAAAAGCGAAATTTTTTAAAGGAAACAGCGCCGCAGCCTGTTCAGTTTTAAAATAACTTGAATCGTTCAATGCCGAAGTTCAAAGCGGAAATTTGTTGTTTCTCCAGTGTCAGCCTTTTCGTCTTCATCCCTGAAAAAAACTTGATGACTCGATGAACATGATACGGCTTTTTGAAATTGAATTTCAATTTATAATATATAGATTTAGCCAAGCCTAAAAGCGGAGCTCCCAATAATTGAAAATTTTGTAATAAAATTTCTTTACATATATTAAAAATTTTTAGCCAAAACTTCATTCAGTGTGGATTAAACCAAGAGCCATTAAACCCATTGACACTTATGTGTGACACGTGCCTGTGAAAAGTCAAAATTTTAGAGAAACCAAGAAAGCAGACACAATGCGCAGTAAATTTTTAAAAATCATCTTTTCCAAAAAACAAGCTCCTGTGAAAGAAGACTAATGAAAGAACTTCTTTCCGACGAAAAAAGCGATAGGTCTATATTAGGCATGGGTCGCACTTGGCAAAGTTTGGTGTGAATGTGGTCACTTTGGTGTAAAAATCTGTCATCGGGGCACATTGCCTAATGCGACCCTAACTTTTCCGGTTTGCAAAAACTTTGAAAACCGGCCAAAACATCAGTTCCGTTTTAACTAAAAAATCAAGAAAAATCGCTAAATATTATCGCATGTGTGCAAATGGGCATGTGGATCATATTTAAAAATGGAATATGCGAATTTGTCCGTGAGTGAAGAGATCTCGAGTTTCATGGAATCTATCAATAGGAAGCAAGACTAAAATGGCCAAGAAATATTTCGGGACGACAGATTTATTCAAAACAGTTTTTGATTTGCTGTTATAAGCGAAAAACGAACGAATTTCTTACGTGTACAAAGCCCACGCAGTAAAATTCATCATGCTTAGATCGTTGTTTACTTGCCTTCAAGTGCCGAAGGCGGCATATGGTATTTCGAGGACTGGACTTTACTACACTGGACTAGTAAAACGAGGACTAGTAAAGCGCGGACTTGTAAAACGTGGACTAGTAAAACGCGGACTAGTAAAACGCGGACTAGTAAAACGCGGACTAGTAAAACGCGGACTAGTAAGACGCGGACTAGTTAAACGCGGACTAGTAAAACGCGGACTAGTAAAACGCGGACTAGTAAAACGCGGACTAGTAAAACGCCGACTAGTAAAACGCGGACTAGTAAAACGCCGACTAGTAAAACGCGGACTAGTAAAACGACAACAACAA